CTACCGTGTTAACTTTTGCAAGTAGCACCCGAGTGGAGACCTCCACGATAACAGCTATGACGGAAAGGAGGCCGCCAAGATCGCAGACAGGTGAGTGCTCCGCTGCTATCTTTCCCTCTACCCTGATGCGTTCTTACTCTGCTAGTATGCCCTCCGCTTGACTCACTGCTTGTATGTGTTTGTGCTTGTCTACCCTCCCTGTGTGTTCACTGCTTTGCGTAGATGTAAATGAATCTCCCGCTAAACCAAGGAAGATGCATTGGCTCAGGAGGAGGCAACCTCCTTAGCGAACGTGATAGCTACGAGGATCGCCATCACCGAATTTGACATCACCACCAACATGAATGCCATGGCACAGTGAAGTAGAGGATCGCCAAAAGGAAGATGGTTGTTACCTCGAGGAGGGCATCTACAACAAACCACGCGATCAGGCAAATGGAGGTGATCTCGATAACCTGGCAAGAGCGTCCGCTCATCGCATGGTTTAGCAAGGAGCCATATCACGATCAGGGCATCGAGTTGATGTCATCCTTACCAACAAGGTAGAGTATTCATGGTCATACTCTGAACGTGAATGAACCTATCCCCAGATCGTGGAAAGGTTCATCCCTGATGCTTTTTTTTCATATTTTATCAGCGAGCGAGAGAGGGATAGAGGAGGGCTACTCACACCGGTAGGATGAGCAAAATTGGAATGAATCTTCCGCTAAATCCCAAGAAAATGCAGCACCCGGTGGACCCCCTCACTCCGCTTTTCTTTGTTTGTTGCGCTCGCATTTTTATGCAACCCCTGCAGGTTACGGATATGAGCCCTACAATCGATTCGGAGCACTCGAAAACCCCCAAACCCATCTCCGTCTGCCCGATTCCGTCAATAATTGGGTGATACACTCATTTATTTTCCTGCCATATCTTCATGCCCCGTCACCTCTACGCAGTAACTTTCTCTACTGACAGTTATCTTACTAATCTAGTGCTAAAACTAACACCATTACTGAAATCGTCCGGCCTGAAAACCCCAAAATCACCCTTCTACTCGCCCGATCTGCTAAGAATCGAGCAAGTTGCCCATATCCTACTACGTCCCGCCTATTTCCGCCATAGCCCGCTCCCTTCATCTTCGACTCCTAATGCACCTTGTGTGATTTAGCGTCTAGATTCGTTCCTTTCCTCTCCTGCGTTGTCCCCCCTGCACTCCTATCTTTCCTCCTTGCACTACCGTATTCCCTTCGTCTAGCTTCTTCCTCTTCCGCGGTTGTCCCCCCTGCTCACTCCAACTCCCTCACAACTTCTCATGATCAACACTCCAACTATTCTGAGGGAAACTTCGGAGGGAACCAACTACTGACCGGTTCAATCAGCCTTTCGCCCCTATACCCAGTCCGACGAATGATTTGCTTGGCAGTACCGCTGCGGCTTCCGCCACAATGCCTTCATACCGCTCCAACTGCGTGCTACCCAAGACACCACAAAAACTGTCGATTGATTAGGACAGCAGGGCGATAGTCATGAAAGTCAAAATTCGCTGAGTGTGTAATAACCCACCTGCTGAATCCACCAGCCCCAACGGTGGGTGGCGCTGCCGTTGAGGAGACTCTAGCTCCTCGAAGAATGGGGGGGGGGCGTTGAAGTATGGACATAAAATTCAACTTTTAGGCATAATTTCAGTTTTGAAATTTTATGTTACTACTGTAAAGCTCCGAGCGTGGGCCTAAGTGAAATAGGCCCAGTGCAGATATTGGTGGTAGGAACAAATATTCAAAGGAAAACTTTGAAGACCGAAGTGGAGAGAGGCTCTATATGGGTAACCCTTGCAGTCTACGCCCTGCCCCGGTGCATTCACTCCTCTGTGCCCGGGCATGGTCTGTCGTCTTTCGTGTCCCAACGGATACGCCCACACTGAGCCCTTTCACAACAAATCGTGGTTGGCGGACGGTGCACCCTCAGCGACTTCCACCACCCTTGGACTGCAGCCCCACAGTCCTGCTTGGAATGTCCTTCAATTCCCTTCCACTTTAGACTGCCGACAACCTCCAAAGGGAAGCGAGGGAAGCCACACCACTCTTATGCACGTCGAACTCCTTGGTCCGTGTTTCAAGACGGGCAGGATAGAGGAATCTCGCCAGCATCCCGAACACGCAAGAATCCATATGGACCTGCTAAAAGAGGCATGTGCTCCGGGTCCTCGGTTGCTGTTCAAATCTCAATACATAACTTAAGGTCAGGGGACGCACCAACTGAGCTAAGACCGACGATCATGTCAATGGTCCCTATGACCGATGTCGTGATTGACTCAAAAGACAAACAAAAATAAAAATAATAATAATAATAAAAAAGGGCGAGGAAAGAAAAAGGGACTGCTAGTACCGCGTCGGCCCCGTGGGCAGTAAAACCATGGGGGATCCGCTGGCTTCGATCCCTAAATCCCCCTGTTGAAAGTTCGATACCGCAACTAATAGTGTTAGGCCCAAGGCTGATTTTAGTACTATCGGTAACATGTATAAGCGGGTACCACGTTGCGTGCGAGCTCTCTGAAATGTTCCAAGGCCGCACTCTTAGCCCATTACCTAAAACCACAGTCGTCAAACTTCATGCCTACCGCGCGTCTATCTCCTCGCATAGCACTCAAAGCCACATTGTCGTCGATGCCGTCCTCCGCACGAGCACACATGTCGTGGTCGAGCATAGCAATCAAAAGACAAAATCTTTTAATTTTAGTTTAAGTCAAAAACTAAAATTTGGCCGGCAACCACGCCGACTTTGCAATGATCAACAAAAAGAGAGATCACGCGCGCCTTAAGTCTGCGCGCCCACACGCTCTCTATTTTTAGGCAACAACGCAGTTGTCGTAATTGAATAAACAACCGAGACTCGCGCAGTGTACTTAGACTTTAAACCAAACTTATTTTTTGTCACTTGCACAAACCAGGGTGGATATCCATTGTAAGGGTGTTCGCACCGACACTGGTAGCCCTCTTGAACTTGTGCTACCGGTCCCCCTGAATTTAGGCCGGTGGGGGGAGTGGCGGCTTAAACCACCAGTACTTGGCCTAGCTATCATCGGGGGGGGAAAATACAGTACAAATGTTTATAGTCAGATGAATTTGGGCACTCGAGTAGTGACCTGTACAGTTTATAAAATCGTTGCTCATTAACCGACACAACTTGAAAGAGTACTGGTGGTTTAAAGCACTGACTAACACCACCGACTACGTTTGCTCGTTTAGAGATTGAATCTCTACCAAAATTATATCGGAAACTTGGTTTGTTTTTCTACGTCCATGGATCAAATCGCCACTGACATTGCCATAAAGCTTATTAATAGTCACTATCACTATTGCACACATCTATTCTTCAAAACTTGGCACCTTCCAAAGGATAATTAAAAAAAAAAATTGAAAATGATTATCGCTGGCACACACGTCCAAAATGGCAACTTGTGAAATCAGATAGTCTCCGTGACCACCGTACATGTCAAAAACTAAGGGTAGGACCCCACAGGACGGCGACAAACGATTTCGGAAGTCTGGAGGCAGCTTCCGAGACCCCACATACGGATTTTGCCGCCGCGGAAGTCATCGGCCGATCGTTTCCACTTGGTCCGCGGCCCCCTTATTCCTACGTGGCCCTGAATTCCCGTTTTCCAAAAGTCGGTCCGTTTACCTACCTCCCGGGTGCGTACTCCGGCACATGCGGACGAAAGTCGCAGCCCTTCCACTACAACCAATGGCAAGGGACCTGGAAAGGTCTTCCAAGGCCCGACCTTTCCCAAAAAGGAAAACTGCCCCGGAATTTCCTTTTCGGGCGACCCCCTCCGAAGCAAAAGCAACATTTCGCAGTGGCGGTGGGGTCCCCTCTGTTTCATCATCTCCGTTGGCGGTGGGCAGTCGGCTGGAAGTAGAAGACTTCTGAAACCGTTTGCCGCCATCCTGTGGGGGCCTACCCTAAAAGTACAACACCTTTTTCACAACAGAAGCTCACTAATGTCCTTTCGACCCAATTGGGCCAAAAATTGTCGTTCTAATTGAAATTGGAACCCTGTTGGGAACCCACTCACTTATCCAAATACAGCCCAACCTCCCTTGCTAAGAGTCCCAGCCTACACTCTCACAGCTACGTGTTAAAAGTGCCAACAGTGTTCCCCAGCAACCAGTCAATTCCAAGGGGCCCATGAACACCCATTCTTTTACCAGGATTCCCGCCAACAGCCCCACATAGGCATTTGGTCGCATTGTCCATGGCCAGAAATAAAGAATTTGCACCCTTGGGCCAGAAGTACCGGGACATCTGGAAACTTATACCTGTATAGCAAAAGATGTCCTTTGGGCAAGGATATTTGGAGAATCTGGACTTCTGTCAAAGGGGCATTTGACGATTTCTTGCTTCTGCACCCTTGGGCCAGAGTACCGGGCATCTGGAAAACTTATACCCGCACACAAAGGAGCGTATAGCAGAAGATGTCCTTTGGGCAAGGATATTTGGAAAATCTCTACCCCTGTCAAAGGGGCGTTTGACGATTTCTTGTTCTCCGTGAGGGGCATATCGTATCACCGTTTCCCGTATACTTCTGGGTGTATCCCAAAATTCCATTGTATTTTTATTTTCCTATTTTTTCTAAAAAGGGCGACGGCACTGAGATACGCATCTGCATCCGGTGGAGTTTGAACTCAGATCTGTATTTCAACGATAGGGCTGTACCGACTGAACTAGGCCACTTGGTAAATTCCATTTCTTGGGTTAGCAAGGACGAACAAATATATCACAGCATCTCCTTCAGGGCCTCTTCAGCGTTCTAGATTGACATCAAGCCATCTAAGTGGGCTCTGAGCCACAGCCACCTTTTCATATCTGCTTTGCATATAAATATTCGGCCCATGCCATATGACCTGTTTGCGTGACCCAACCGCAGCCGCCGCAAGCCGGTCAGGCGGATGGATGCGCGATATCAGCCTTGTGCTGTCGGCTGCGCGCTTGCCCATAAGCGCGTGAATGGTGTGTAGGTGCTCTCGCATTATGGAGTGACATGCCACTTGCTGTGGATCTGGAGCGCTACTTTGCCAATGAGAATTGGATGAAATAGGGTAAGTAGAACGAAGACCCTTCATTCTTTTTCTCCTTCTCCTCTCTTCGCGCTTTTGTGTTCTTTTTTTTTGTAAAACATGTTAGCAATTCCCCTCTCTTCCCTTTCTGTTCCTCTTTCCCGTCGTCTGCCAGGTGATGCTGCGTACCCTTTCTGTCATCGTGTTTGGTTACCCTCCCTCGCCTCCTCCTCCTCCCTCTCCTTCTTGAGGACATACTCACAGAGCACTTTCCTGAATGTATCCGACTGCAGTTACAGCTAGACATGGACGCATCTGACTGCAATCACGTCCAGAGTTCAGTCGAAAAGGTCCCAGTGTGAGGATGCCCTGAGGGCGGAAGGACAAGGCCGAGTATGGAAAAGGAACGAAAGAAACCAAATTGATAGGGAGGATGGAAGAACCACAGAGAGAGAGAGAGAGAGAGAGAGAGAGAGAGAGAGAGAGAGAGAGAG